GGAGGCTGAAGTAGGAGGGTTCCGAGTTTGAGCTCAGCTTAGGGCTGCACAGTAAGAACCTGTCTCAGAACAAGCTCACAGGAAGACCTCTGTCAGGTCACAGGAAGAGTAAGTGGGTAGGTGTCACACAGATAGCGATAGCTCACAGTTGGGCTTGGTTGGTCACCAAGCCACCTCTGTTTACTGGCCCCACTGCCTGCTCCCCAGTGTCAACCTGCATTTGCTACTTTCCCACCAGGAATCAGACATAAAAGCAGCAGAGCTAGGACCCTGCCTAGCAGTGACGGAGCTGTGGAGAGGGGTCTGGCCATGGAAGTAGATGTGGAAGCCAGCAGGAACAGCATGACCTAGACATAAGATAGTGTCTGCTTGATCCTATGCACATCTCAGGACAGTGGGCAGCTGACAGCTTTAGCTGTTTGCTCAGCAATTCCTCTACAGCAGAGAGCAGGGACAGTCAGGAGTCGGGAGTTCCTTAACCATGCCCTGCTTCCCACTGGCATAGGGGGAAAGGTGTCTTTGGTCTCAAGACCTAAGAGCTAGCTTTCTTGCTGGTCAGCTGCCTCATCCTGACCACCCAGTTTCCCTAAGATTCTGTTTTACTGTATAACTTAGCTACTGACAGCTGTTTTGTGAGGTCATTATGAGTGTAAACAATACAAGTACCCCCTAAACTATGAATTCTAACACAGATATTATTGGTTGGCAGCCTCCTGGCCACTGGATGGTGCCGTGGTATGGAAAACCTGAACTTCCTGGGTTTATTGGTCTCAGATGGCAGGCTGGAGGTGACAGCCACAGGAAGAGTTCTCCTCAGAATCCTCACACCCACAGACAGGGGCCTCCCCCTCAAGTGTGATCTGTGAGTGCTGGGGCAGGCAGAGGTTTGCAGGTGTTTTCTGCAGGAAGCTCTGCTCAGCCCACCCTCCAAGGGCTTGCCACAGGCCACTTCCTTCAGGCACTTGAAGCAGGCTTTTCACCAAGGTCCCCTGGGCTGTACCCGATCAGAACATCTCAGCTTTATGCTTCATTCTTTTGCAACAGGGCAGCTGACAGCTCCACTGGACTTGGTGTCCGGGGGATAGGTGGGAAGAGTACCAATGGAAGGCAGACAGTACAACATCATGAAACTGGGAGGCCTCTAGTGTCACACCAATAAGCACAGGTTCTGGGACACAATCATCTATTCTGCTTCTTGCACATACTAGGAGCTTGGACAAGACACTAGCTTTGAGCTCCACTTTCCTTACCTATAATATAAAAAGAGAAAATAGCCCCTAACTCTACAAGGATGTACTTACCAGAAAAAGGTAATCCAAATGAAGTATCTGGCTGTGTGGCCTGCACAGGATCAGATCCTGTGGTGATAGCAACACAGCACAACCCTTCACATGGAATAATATGCATAAGAGGACAGAAAAGCCAACTAGGGGTAGTGACAAATGCCTGCAATCCCACTACTTAGGGGGCTGAGGCAGAATGCAAGACCAGCTTTAGCCACATAGTGAAACTGTATCTCAAAAAAAAAAAAAAAAAAAAAAAAAAAAGTGTTGGTGGGGCATGGTAAAACATGTCTATGATCCCAGCACTTGGGAAGGCAGGACAACCAAGAGTTCAAGGTCATCCTCAGTTATGTAAGTTCAAATACAGCCTGGGTTACATGAGACGGGTGGGAGGATGAGCCCATAAGCTGTGGAGAAGTATGTTGCCCGACCCGGTGGCTCAAAGTCAGAGGTCACCTTTATGTACTTAATAGAAAATTCAGTTCTTAGTTATACACAGCCATACCTGGAGCATGCAGTGGCCACAGTTAACCTGTAACTACAGTTGGAAAGCACAGACCCAGACACTTCCATCAGTACAGACGCCCTATTGAATAGCAGTGAGTAGCACGCCTTACAAAAAGCATGCAAGCATACATGCTTTGGAAGGGTCCTAGACCCTTGCAACAGAAGCATGGACAGTGTAGCAATAATATACAGCAGGAAGGACAGAAGGGCCCAGGAAGCAGGACTGCCTGCCACCCACAGGTCCCACCCAGCACTAGGAGGCCACCCAGGGTTAGGAGGTGTCAAGAGACAGGGCAGGGGTGTTCACAGAGGGCACTGTGGGGAAGCAGGGGCTGCAGTGCAAGCACATCTGCTGCCTCATATACGGGAGGGATGAAGGCCGTGGTGGGGAGCCCAAACTGATGACCCCACAGAGAGAAGAGCACAGGCAGCTGGGGAGGGTGGGAGAGTGCATCAGCACCTGCGCAGAAGCAGCCCTGGGAGTCGAGGCCCTTCTCGGTGGGGATGGCCACAAGGTACCGTAGCAGGAAGCCATTCTCCCCATTGGCAAACTTCAGCACATCCTGACAGTTTTCATCCAGACTCCCCCCGAGTGTCACAGCCTCCTCAGCTGACTCCAGGTAAGATGCCAGCACCTTGCGGACCAAGGCTCTCCACAGGGTGGCTTCCTCAGTGTTCTTGGCCTGCAGTTTCAGAACGGCCTTGGCTGTGATGATTTTGAAGAACGCTGGGCCCCCAAGGCTGGTGTCTGGCAGGATGTCTCGGATGGTCTCCACTCCATGGCTATCACTTAACATCTTCTCGTTGTTTCTCACACGGAAACATTTCAGAGATTCCAAGGACAGGGAAAAGATATAGGGGACCCAGGTCCGGTCTGCATACAGGTACAAAAGGGACTCTTGGATAGCATCTGGCTCCGGAATGTAGACAGATGTCCAGTCTAACTGCATGCCCTGGGCACCTGCAGGCTCTGGGAGATGGGTTGAGTTAGGGGGGAGGCTGTCTGGTGGAGCCTCTGGGGCATCCTCAGGTGGTTCTGGGTACTGGATGTTCACCCACTCATCCTCCTGCTGAGGCCGCACCTTCTGCAGAGCCTCCCTCACACGGTCAAGCCAGTCCTCAGCCTCATCCTGGGAGGAGGCACGGAGTGCCAGCTTCTTGCCAGAGAAGACCAGCTCAAACCGTCCATCACTATGCGCTGGCCCCACAGCCTCACATCGCAGCAGGGAGCAGCTTTCCACACAGGTGCGCTCCTTATCGCTCAGGTAGAGGCGGAGCTCCAGTGGGGACAGCTCACAAAAGAATTCCTTCCAGATGCCCATGGCTCCTCTCCGGGCTACTGTTCCCAGCTTCATGAGGCCCCGGAATGGGTTAGATAGGCCTAGTTGAAGAAAAGAGGCACTTTAGACTATGGGCCTGTCCCTTTATAATTCAAAGCCACAACTGGTGCCCAGTGTTCTTCCATGGGAGAGTAACGGTCATCAGAAGCTGGCCTGCCACCTTCAAATGGGACCATGCAACTAGAAGGAACAGTTTTTTTGCACATCTGCAGCTGTCCTCCCCTCTGCTGGTGACCTATCTCCAACATTTCATTGGAAAGATGGAGGTGCTCAGACTCCTCCATGGGCATCCTTACCTCACTGCCCTTCCCCCCCAGCATCTGTGCCCACACTTCCCAACTGCCTCTGCTGGGGCCAATCCCTCCTCCATGTGCTGAAGGATAAGGACATCTCTCCAGCAAGTCTCCTTTCCCCTGTTGCCCCTTTCTCCTTTCTCTACTGGATCATTTCCATCAGCACACATCATTCCTTCCACACTCAAAAACCTTCCCTCTTGATCCCATCACTAACCACCATCTTGCTTCTTGGTCTCCGTTACAAAACTAGCAAACAAACCACTCAAGGACATATCCACTACCCTCTACCATCTCCTCTGGCCATCATTATTTCCTGTATGTGTCAGGTATGTTCTCAGATGATCCCTGTTAACTTTCTTCTCATTGCTTGAAATGCAGATCACCTCAGGCCTCCTCTTTCCCAACTTGGATGTCACCTCATCTGTGAGGATGGCTTCTGTCACACTTTAAGAAGACTTC